CCGCAGCGCCATGTGAATGATACGCTAGTTCATTCTAAACTGCTTTTATTTGAAGACGTTGACAACAACCAGATTTGTAATAAAAACATGAGGTATATAAAAACATGTGACTGTAGGATGAACAGGTTGTTATCTTATTCTATTACATCTTTCTTTGGAAGTGCTGGGTAGACTTGGAATATCATCTGTTAAAACGGATCTGCAACGAAATAGCGCGTTACAAAACAGCGCGTAACAAAACAGCGCGAACAAAACAGCGCGTAACAAAATAGCGCTATAACAAATTAGCGCTGCAACTAAATAGCGCTTTTTCCAAAATGATTAGAAATCATGAAAAGCATATTCAATTCAACTCTCTATTGGACTATAACAAACAAGTCTTTGAACATAAAAATCCGATATTCGAGTTGTAGGCAATAGACTGCAAGTAATCTTCAATTTGGTCGAAGTTATAATTTCTCACTAATATTTTCAGTCTTTCGTTGAGCTGCACATATGTGTTTATCATTTTCCATTACATGTCTGAAGCCGCATTTGAATCTTGTGATGAAAATTTCAGCCTGATTCTGTTCTTTCTTCAGATGATTAATCAATTTATGAAGCGATGGATGATGGTAATCCAATGAATGTTGGAACGAATTGTGCGAAACTTTCAAAGATGTAGTGATGTCCTGGGAGGAGTCACTTTCAGCATCTGTAATTGTATCGTCAATGGTTTCTCCTTCGAGATGTTTCAGCAGTTTTTTCTCAAGTTTAGTACATCTTGATTTGATATTTCTCTCACTGAAGTGTGGATATATTTCTGTGAGCATATTTACCAGTGCTAATAGATCATTAGTGTAGTTTCTGACCACACTCACTGGATCAGTAGATCCACAAGCATTGTCGAAAAGATCCTTGATTCGAGTGTTATTTAGTACGAATGCGGGTGAGTGTGTTTTTATGAAGTTTTCCGTAGGTCTGAATGAATCTTCTATTTGTTGGTTAGGTTTTGGTTTTTTGGCTCGAGAGGTTTTCGAGGGTTTAATGAACGGATCATCTGTAGTTTCTTCTTCATCCGTTTTAGTAATTTCCTGAGTTGGTGTTAGTATATCTTCTACAGGACGTTTACTGGTCACTGTATTTAGAGTTGGCAGAACTTGTGAATCGGATGGTTGTTGTGGATCTCCTGAAATGTCTTCTGTATTTGATACTGCTGTTGTTTCACTTGAAGAGGTTTTACACTGCGAAGGAAGATGTCTAGCCTTCTTACAGCTGAAACAGGTGAGTCCATCTTGGAGGAAAACACGGTAGGATGTATCGTCAAAAGTTATCATAATTGATTCCGGGATTGTTACATCTGGACTACTGATACAAACCTGTCTTCTGAAACTCAGAATATGGCTGTATTCAGAGATGGATGCGCTTATTCGCAGAAAAGATATAGGTGAAACCGGAGAAAGGCCAACTTTTTGTAGTTCATGGTTGAGTAGGTCATGAGGAATAGTTGGGGACACATTGGACAGGACGAGCCGCACAGCAGGGGTTATTATTCGCCTCTCTCTAAGGGATTCACCATTTATTTCGATCATTCCATTTTAGTTCATAAATTTATCGACTGTCTCTATGCTCGAAAGGTACATGCATATTCTCTTGTTCGATAATCTTGATGCAAACAGTATGTTTTTAGGGTTTATTATGGATCCCACTTTGATAAGATAGTCTTGAAGTCGGATTCCGTCTATAGCGTTGAATATGATAGCTTGTTCTTTGGTGGGACAGTGTTGTTGAGTAAGTGCAGCAGGGTAGCTTCTGTTAGTTGGGTTTTCATTTTGGGATCCCCTGTAGTCAGAAGTCCCAGGTGTAGAGTTCAGCGAACTCATTTTAGATCATCGAGTAGAGATAAATTTTCAAGTTTGTCCCTGCTCCTCAGGTGCACGGAACATACCGTCATCAAACTGGTCACACAGGATTGCTTTCATTTGTTTATCGATAATCGATAATCGAATGGTCGAGATAGGATATAGATGGAAACACGGAAATTAATTCAAACTGTACTTACGGTTTGGTACTGGATAGGTCGCTACCCACTAATGATTTTCACTATCACCAATTGAAGAATTTTCAACTTTGAAATCACAGGTTTATATAAGTATGAATATGGAGCTGATATCAGACACGGTTGAACCTTGTCCAAAATTTTCTTCTCTTTCGGTCAATTTGTAGTTTTCACCGATAGTGATTTCCTTCACGGAACTAAAGGTTAGTTGTATCGAATTTTTGCTGCAACGTTGGCGATGTATGAGTGTCCTGGTAGCATCATATGCAGGTGAAAGGACCGAAGATTCTCTCGTTACACCGTTTAGATGCGTGATTTTTTTTATCGCTTGGAGCGCACGAAAGGGAATCCCTATAATGGTCAAAGAACATCGTGCGTTCCTAGGGAGGTAGGTATTGGATTTTTTTTTTACTTTTGGAGATTATATGTTGTTGGGAATACTTCCACAGGCAATGGATTCCAGAGCCTAGCCGTTCTATGGATGAAGGAGTCTTGACAAAGTGCTATTCGACATCTTTCGAGGTTGACAACGAAAGGATGTGCTGACTGGGCTTGTCTAGTTCGTCTGATTGGTATTGCTAGTGAAGGGATGATAGCAGAGATTTCCGAAGAACATTTCCCGTGGAAGTATCGATAGAAATGTGAAAGGACGCCGACCTTTCTTGATGATATTTCTTGGCTTCTCTTCGGTGTTTCTGGCACTATCGCGCATTCTTCCCTCCACCATATGAACTTCATTTTCTCCCAAATCAGGGCCGTGATTATGACTAGTTGTTGCTCTAGGTTTTCCGGAAGTTACAACCAATCTACCATTGCAGGCAGCTTTAACACATCTCCAGGATTCCGAATGACTATGCACTTTATCACGTCTATATCTATAATCTTCATATTTCAGTAAATCTCTTCCTTTCTGAGTTTTCAATATCTCCATTGTTCTGACACTGATTACAGACAATAGGTAATTGTTGTCAAATTGAAACATCGAATGGCGTATCTATGGTAGTTTTCGAGAATTTCTTTTTCACAGCAACGACTAACTCACATGATAGGTTATTGGATAATCAATCACTGATAGATAGGTATAATGGCTGATGAGATATGTTTGAGATGCGAAAACATTTGAACATTTCAAATAACAAACGGAAATGAGCGCCACTTCAGAACGCGCTATTTTGTTACAACGCTGTTTCGTTACAGCGCTGTTTTGTAACGCGGTGTTTTGTTCGCGCTATTTTGTCACGCGCTGTTTTGTTACGCGCTATTTCGTTGCAGAGCCGTAATAACGTATAGGTTTCAAATATACTGACTAATATAATCCCTTAGATGCTGAAATAAGTAATTCAGAACAGAAATGACAGATGTAAGAATATATCTAAAATTTTTCAGTTTTGGTGGCTATTGATACAAAACAGGTAGAGAATCATGAAGTTCATTGATTCATTTATCCTTATTTTCAGTATGATTTAGTGATAGATAACCTTCATTTAGGTCCTCTATTATTTTTGGAAACTCCCAGTAAAATGAAAGGATAATTGAACACAGATCAGAAAAAGTAGCTACTAACATTGAACTGGAAGTATTTCATCCTCTATTCTATACTTTTTCGGTTCAACTCCAAGACGCAAACGTGACTTTTCGAAAGGATTATTGTTCATATAAGTGTAAAAGTGTTTACCAAACACGAAATCTATTGTGAAAATCACATGAAGGTATATTTTCCAGAAGATCTTCACATCCACAAGCTCCCACCCAAATCCTACACCTGAAAAGCAATATATTTATTTCAATAAATACGGTGAGAAGTGTTAGCATAGGTAGGTGAAAGCATTTCAACACTTTTGCAACCTTCAAAATGAGTTTACTTATATAGTTTTCTGCACCCAATAAAATGAGTATTGGTGTCACTGAATAACCTAAAAACTGATATCGAATTTAACCCACATTGTTTCATTCTTTGGAAATCTATGTAATTTGATAGGATCGTTTTTTTCGGAAGGTAAACTGACACAGTTCTTGTAAATGCAACGATTTCCACTTTTTGAATCGCTCATTTCGAGATTCACACAAACAAAACAACTGCAGGTAACAACTGTTCGAAACACAAAGAACATATTCTTAGTTCGGTCCAGAAATCATGAAACTAATTAATCACTTCATTATTCGAACGGATGAAACACAGTACGAACTACAAACACTATGGTCACAATCTTGTCACTCTTGTCACAATGTTCATGATGGTCTACTACAAAATGCAAACACTTCATGATTAAGCTGCATTCATATATGATCAATTATGATAATGTTGTTGCTTTTGTCTCCGTGTATTTGTCATTGGCTGCAACAAATCAGCCACCAATCAGAACTATTGAATTCGGAACAGCATGCAACGCAAAAGCCATTTTTCCTCGAAGTAAACCATACAGACCCGGTCAACAATAAGTTAACCAGTTAATTTTCCTCGAAGTGTATTCCAAACCATGACGTATTAATCAACCAACCACACAAACCAGCTCACTGAGGTTGTTCACGGAGTAGTTAAGGCTTTTGATTGGGCAGATTGCAGATTGGATTGAACTGAACTTGAACTTGTTTTGTTTTGAGGTTTTGTTATTAATGAGATCTAATTTCAGTAATTTTATTTTGATTTGATGACGATTCGATTTTGATTATGGATTCATACGAAGTGATGGTGAATGAAAGATCTTATCGTATTATAGACGAAAAGGAAATGATTGATCTATTGAAAATAGATACGTAGCTGATTGATTGAATTTTCTTAGATTTGAAGTAGGTAAGTATAGGTATCGTAGTACCTATCTATAGTATTTTTTTATTTACAGATGATGAGTTTCTCATTCAATATATTACAAGTGAAATAAAACAGGGCACTGGCCCACCAGTACATCCTGCTGATGTAGAAAGCTTTCTCAACATTAGGAGGCCATCAGAAGAAAGTGAAGAGATGATTTTGTTGCAGACAGATTATCAAAGTGCTCAACATGAGTCATTGGAAGATGTATCAGAAACAGAAGACTTCGGCACAGGTTATCAAGAACATGAAATGTTTAAGGCTGTATTCAGCGAAGGTGAAGATAATCAAGGGGTGGACATGGACATGGTAGTAGATAATGTCAATGTTGTCAATGTTTGGTCACAAAAAGGAAATCATCAGAGGCAGATCAGAAAGCTATCGAATTAATGCTAGAGCTTGAAAGCTCTGAGACATTTGTCGAAAGATAAGATAAGAAAACTGAAAAACTGAAACTGTCGAAAGAAATCAGTGAGGAACTGTGTAAAAAAGGATATTCAGCAGATGCTGAAAAATGTTGGCAGAAGTTTGCCAGCTTGAGCAAAAAATATTTAGAGTTTGTTCGCCATGGCAAACAAACTGGCAAAGGAAAAAAGCAGGAACCGGCAAGTTACTGCACAAAATTTTGGGTGCCGAGGATGTAGTCCAGTTAAAAGACATAGCAGATACCATTGTATCTGAAACCGTGACACCAGCTACGCCAACAGTAGTTGTTGATGCAGACGAAATTGAAGCTCCCTCATCTGAAACACCATCAACACCAGAATCAGGATCAGGAATCAAGTACATCCCGTGTCGAAAAAAAAAAAGAAGAGGATCCTTACAAAATCTGATATAATAAATAAAATTTTGGAATGTAATGAACAAAATATTTCCATTCAGAAGGAAAGTACAGATAAAATCTGTACAGCTATTCAACAGCAAACCAATCTAATGGGAAAACAAATTCAACAGAAAGACAGATTATTAAACATATTTGAACAAATGGTGGAATCTCAAAAAAAAAGGAAGGCATAGTTCTTCACAATCAGACTGCATGATACTGGACTCAAGTTGGAATCATTACTTCATTTTGTTGTTTCTGTAGTACCTATAAAGGTACTATTGAGTAATAGGTATTCCAAAATGTTTTTTTTATGATCTCATGCTTAAAATACTTCTGTTTCGGTTTCTTTGTTGTTAGTTGGATGTGATACAACATGTGATGATATTATACTAGTGTTCGGTTGTTTCAGTAGTTTAAAGGTATTGAGATCCTAGATTTTTGTTTTTCATGATCTCTTTCTCAGAATATTTTTGTTTCATTCATTTGTTCTTAGTTTTTACATGATTGTGATAATATGATATTATTCTAGTGTAGATAACCATAAATATTTACCTAGGTTTCTTTTTCTATCTAGTTATTATCTTTGTTACCATATTATATTATATATTTGGTTTTGAGGAAATTAATTTAATTTAACTCTGTTTAATGCATATAAAGTCGGTATTGTTTTGATCTAACAAGGATTAAACAATTATTGTTTCAATATTTTTATGCAAATCAATCTGTATACCGTATGAAAACCATATTATAATTGAGTTTCCATTCAGGTTGGATGTGGCAGGAAAAAAAATGTTATATATGTTTCGATATTTTATAGGCAGATGTTCAAACAATAAAATTATTTATCTCTTCTTGTTGTTCCATCAGTATCTACATTTCCAATATATTGGATGTCATCAATGGCAGTTGGCATCTTCAACATCATTGTTGTCTAAACAAAAATTACGTAGAGAACAACAAGCAACTATCAAGTCTACTGCTCTCTTTATAGTATACACATAAATATATTGAAGAATCCTCCAGCGTCCTTTTAGTTGTCCAAAGGAATGCTCAATGACTACTCTTTGCTGGCTTAGAGCTCTGTTATATTTCCGCTGGTATTGAGTTAAACCAGGTGTGAAACTTGAATTTGCAGGACTGTAATTTCACTTTTGTATTAACAAGACTATAATATAATAGTAACTCCTTACTTGATAGTGAAAAACCTCACTTGTAGGGTGTCCAACTCTCACATGGATATGCAGAATCTGCCACAAGGTGATATTTTCCAACAAAAAAAAATAATTGTGTGCATCATTCTTTACTATGTCTCGGTGTAGACTCGACTCCCATAATATCTGAAAGAATTAAATGCATTTGGATGTGAATAAACTTCTGAATATAACATTTTTTTCTCACTCGTGCATCATGTAATGATCCAGGATAACCCACAGATATATTAATATATTTCATATTTGATACACATACCTTGCATGGTGATTGAATGATCAAAATGTCTATCCTGGTAGCTGTCATGTTTTGATTTATTAACTTAAAGTTGAAAAGGGAACCATCTATGGCTCCCATGACACCTGTATTTGAATGATTTCTCTTGGAATGAGTAGGTATTTCAATTCCAATGCATTATTCTACAGTGGGCCATTTTATCAATTGATATTTCAAACTCTCAAATATACTTAATATTTTTGTGATAGATGTGTTGTACAGACTTCAGAGCCACATTGAACCTGTGCGCTATTGTGTTCATACTACAACCTTTGCTAACTTACTACAAAAATATCATCAATATTTTTTCAAGAGTCCTTGTGGGTATTTTGGTACCTTATAATACCTGCCAACTAGCTCTAGTAAATTGTAGAACGATTTTTGTTTCATTCGGAACAGCATATGAAAATAATAATCCAAATATTTCTGAATACAGTCTACATCTACAATGGGCATTCTGAAATGTTCATCATCTTCCAGTATATGATCCATGTATTGAAAGAGTTAATTCCCGATGAATTAATGGCTGCTAACAAAGCATGTGGTGGAATCTTCCATGAACTCTAGTATTGATAAACTTTGTATATTACTATCCATTTTACTCTGAAATTCTCAAATATCAGACAAAAAATCTAGAACGAAGAAGCAGATGAATAACTGACATCTGTCTAACTTCACGAGTAAACCATGGCTGAATTAAGTTACCGTGACGTCATGATAAAGTTTGCCTGGTTAGGTTCGAGGAAAAATGACTAAAACGTCAATCAACAAACGTGTGCGCTCACCTTGTGTACAATGAGTTGGTAGCAGTGCTATAAAAGAAACCAAGTTGACTGCTGAATAAACAAAAAGCAGCTGAGTGGCGTTCAAATTGGTACAGTTTTCTATCTCTGTCTAATTTCATTTGCCTTTTCTATCTTGCACCTCTGTGAGGTTTGTTTACTCTGTGGCGTAGCGATATCGTTGTACAAGAAAAGTGACACATGCACCATCTATCAGCTGATTATTGAAATTCGGAGTGTATGGAGGGTACTTGCATCCGCGAAGCTGTGTGCTGGACATGAAGTTGCATCCAACAAATCGTTGATATGGAGTAGAAATAGTGTTGGTGCTAGAATTGATCCTTGCGGAACACCAGCATTTATGATCTCTGATGACGGAAGCCATATTGCTTATCGTTGATAATTCCTGAATGTTCCAGGTATTTCATGAGCTCGATGTTGATAGATTTCTCCATGATCTTTGAAATAATAGATAGCAGTGCGAACTGGTTGTACCCTCGCAATTTCCCAGTTGGACGGGAATATTCCCAATTTGTAAGAGAAAAGGTGTTAGTTCAGGACCACATTTTTTGAGGACAATCGGTGGAATTCCGTCGGAGCCACAAGCTCTGTTGGCGTTGGGACCCAATAATTTCTTCCTTATAGTACGTTGGCGGAAGGTGATCTGGGGCATATGTCTGTCAATTGGCGTTATGTTTGGAAGTTGTTTTCCAGATGAATCCAGAGTGGAATTTTCAGTAAATAAATGCGCAAAAATGTTGGCTCTCTCCTGAGCAGTTGTGGCTAGTGTTCGATCTCCCTTGGACAGAGGAGGAAACGTTAGGACATGCAACAAGTGTTGATGCCTCTAGCCACGACATTTTCTGCTCTAGTCTCAGGGCCTGGATTTTACTGCCATCGATGGAATGCTGCTTGTTTGGAAACGACAGCTCTAGAGCAGTTTCTACTGAACCAGGCCTTATCGAAAGAAAGTCTCCTTGCAGTGTTTGGTATGTAGGTTTGCATCCCCAACATGATGATTTCAGAAATTGTCTCAGCACATCGTGTTGGATCTGCTGAGGAGAAATAAACTCTCATCCATGGAAACGCTGAAAAAAACATCCGAAAACCTTCCCAATCGAACAAATTATAATGCCACGTGAGACGGGTAGGAATTGTGGTGCTGGAAGGTACATGGAAAGATCAGGTTTGTGGAGATGAGGGTGTGGTCAGAAATACTACGGAAGAAGAAGAAATTCATGAAGTAAACAACGTCGTTCAAGATGATCTTATCGTGAAAAATGAAATCTTGTATGCACCACGAGCCATCGGGCAGCAGTCATCCATCGGGCCAAAGGCCCTTGGGTGAATGTTACCCTCCGGGCGTTAGGATCTATATAACGCACTTGGTACATGAATAACTATTAGGTATTGCAAAGGAAAACCCAACGAACAGCAAGTAAAGTAACTCAAACACCATGAAGAAATCAATGATTCATAATATTATAATAGGAAATTATGAGTGCCACTGCCGAGGCGGCTTGGTGGTCGAGAGCGTGAAGGCGCTGAGTTCGTATGCGGATTCCCACCGAGACATAGGTTCGAATCCTAGTTAGGCCATGGATGTTTGTGTTTGTATGCTTACCCAACCCCGCACAAGTTTCGACTTATGGGGCGTTTGGTCCCAGTGCTGGGACCAACGAGGTAATGCAATTGCAAAAAAAAACTTACCAATGATATTTTCACAGTTTCACTGCAAAATTCACTTGATATTTAAACACAATGAAATCACAGTTTTTATACCATCCTTGGATGATGAATCAACGAGATTTAGAAAAAAATATCTACATATGACCAAATCTCTATTGAGACATGCTTCGTCTCTTTGATCGGCAACGTTTCTGATAAGAAATGATTTCCGTGTAGAGATATTCTGAATATTCACTAAAATTCAAGCATTGCCTTTCAATTCAGGAATAATCGATTTGACCAAATAATTGTTCTGAAAATGAGTTGGGTTATCTCTAATGAAAACAATTGTGATCAAAGAATCGCTTATTGTAATGAATCTGTTCAATTCGTTAGGGTTTCTGTCGAATTCCGGAAGTCAATTGAGGTATTCATATTTGAAAGGTTGGGCCATATTAGATGCGGGGTTTGTTGAAATTGAAGGGGTGTTAATTTGATGGGTGTCAGTTGTAGGGTTCTCAATATTCAATTTTCCAGAAGTTTTCAACAATTATTCCATAAGAGATTGTACTCACATAATGATCAAAGTGACTATGAGCATGTTTTGCTCAACTATGGAGAGGACCAACAGCTCGGCGATTCTGTCTTCACTGTAAGAGTCTTCTTCGTGAAACTTCGATTTTGTCTCAAATTCCGCTGATCTGTCAAAGGTGGGTTGGTTTAGTATCTGCGATCGATACGGTTTCTTGAAATTTGACGAGCCGCCAACAAAATATCTTCACACAACGAAGCTCCAAGGTTCAAATTTCCAGTCAATCGTTGAATGGAATGGTCCACGTTCGATACGCGAAATTCCGGAAAATCCGCACGACTGCGCCAGATAGCTTTTCGAAATGCTCAAGTTCTTTTTTGAAAAGATCCATTTTCATTTTACTACAAGTCAGCGGCGTAGCGAGAGGTGTCGGGGCCCCGGTGCAACGATGGTTGATGGGGCCCTATAGTTCACCGAGAAATTTCCACATCCCTAGAGCGGAAGGTTCCTAGTTGATGATGAGATTGAACAAAAAAAAAACAATGACCAATAAAGGCGTATATATTTTGTTATATAACTATATAACTTCAGAAATGAAAAAAACTATAAGTGATTATATCACATAGGAAAACGAAATACAGTAATTCAGTACCTAATTAACATTTCTATAGCATATCATTCGTGTCTGACAGTCTGATACGAAATAAATGAATAATAAAAAAATTCAAAGATAAACTCCAAAATAAAAAACATTAATAATAATCAGTCATATGATACTTTGCGTTCAGCCTCATCATAAACAGCCAATGGCATAAGAATATGTCGAAATTGTATGTAACAAAATGATTAAGAACTAAAAATTCCTTCTACGTGTTTTCGCATTCGCAAAATTGTTGACCAAATCAGTTATATCCATTTTTGATGCCTGTGATGATTCAATTGATAAGAGAGCTAGCTGAGATAACCTATTCTGTTCCATTGTTGAACGTAAATAATTTTTTATCAATTTTAGTTTGCTGATAGAACGTTCTACATTGGCAACCGTCACGGGTAATATCTTCATTAGTTCGACTAATGTCTGCTCCATCGATATCTTTGTTGTTGCTCGTTGATGCTGAGGCGTCATTACCCATGTATTTCTTTCCAAAAAAGTTATCAATTTTTCTTATTTTGTTGATTTCTTCTTTCCTTTTCGCCTGGAGTTTTCTCTTTTGAGAGCCACTCAGATAACTTCTCTTGTCTTCCATCATGAATATCGATTTGAAACACTAAAAATTAATCAAACGTCAAATTAATCCAATAAGTTAACGTTATATGAGTAAGTGTCAGTTTATGGAACATAGAATGAAAGAAATATCCGAACATTTTTTGTTAACTCACCTGCTTCAGTAAACAACCTTCGAAATCACAGGATACAAATACACACCGCGAAATTTTTATTCCCGACTCCCGACCATCTGCAACGAAGTAATTATAATAAACACGAGATCTTGACCACCGCGATGCCGTCTTTTTGGCGTGCGGGAGTATGAGTGCTTATACATCTTAATAAGTATAGCTAATGCCAGTATTGCATGATATTTTGTTTCCACCCCGTAGGTGGCATTAGAAATATTGGTGGACGATGTTAGAGGCAACAAACGGCCGAAAAGTTTCGACACGTTCATGAATTAAATGCACACCAATACTTTCTTGCATTATACCTGCTAATGCAGATTGGGATATTGTCACGATCCTGGTCTTCCTGATGGGATAAGGCCACTGGATCATCTTTGAGAGTAGCTCAGATAGGGTAGATCATATTCACTCAGACACTAATAGTTTAAGAGGTATAAGAAGTAGTAAAAACCATGTTGAAACCACAAATACATTCATTACATCATTGATATAAAAGAGTTATCGTCCAAA